GGCCCTGACTGTACATGTAATTATTTTGATTATAGCTAAATATAATATCCAACCCTATCATATTGTTAACCCATTGAGCCGAATTGTGCCCTACTTTGTTGTTTTACTATCAATATTTAAAACATGGCTTGTTTTGGCAAGACGTGACATCCTTTCGGTTTTTCACATTTTGAATTTGACAGAATTTTATCTCTGCGATATATCGAAACAATGCCATTTTTTTGATGTATCGAAACCATGGATAGTTTAGAGTTTTCGACATATTGAAAAAATGGCAATCTTTTGATATATCGAAGAAATGGCATTCTTTCAATATATAGAAGCCATGGATAGTTTAGTTTTCGATATATCGAGAAAATTGCAATCTTTCGATATATTGAGGAAATTGCAATCTTTAGATATGTCGAAGAAATGGCATTCTTTCGATATATCGAAGAAATGGCATTCTTTCGATATATGGAAGAAATGGCACTCTTTTAATATATTGAAGAAATGGCATTCTTTCGATATATCGAAGAAATGGCATTCTTTCGATATATCGAGGAAATTGAAATCTTTCAATATATCGAAGAAATGACATTCTTTCGATACCGTTATATCGAAACATTGGATCGATAGTTTAGAGTTTTCGATATATCGAAGGTGGCACGTGACATGTTCTTGATATAATTTTCACTGACTGTGGCTGCCTCCAGACATGTTTTGGAACTATAACATTTTCCTCTTTTTTCCCTTTTATTCACATGCCTTTTACTCACTTTGCTAAAAACAATAAATTTTGCCCAAATTTTTTAGCAGTTTTTTCCTCTTAGAAATTTAGTATCATTTTAGTCATATCTTGCAACTTGGAAAAGCTAAAATTGTGGCAAAATGTGTATGTTTTTGCTGAATATATTTCCAGCCATTTTTAGCATGCATTTGATGTGATTTTCCTATTAAAACATGAAATCTGTCATTGTCCACATTTGTAATTATTCTTATGTTTTTAACCAATTTTTATCATGTTTGAAAAGGAATTCTTGTTTTGATGCACAATTGTTGCATTTATGTATAATTTCTCCACAGTCATGGCCGTACTCATTGCATTTTTTAGTGTTTTCTTTCATTTTCCTCTCAAATTCTGTTAAATAGAATATTGGACCCTATAGTAGAACGTGTTAATAGACTTTCCTTTGAATTTTCGATCGTACACTGTAAATCTGGGAGTGTTACCACAACACCGAAATCGGTGTAAATTCTTGCAGCTGTGTGGACACCGATTTAGTGTTTACTTACACTCATTTTGGTGTTAAAATACACCTTTTCAGTGTTAAATAGATACAGCTGTGCGAACACCGAATTGGTGTAAATCTACACTACGAGTGTAAAATAACACCTCCGAAGATCTTTTCACACTCTTTTGGTGTAAATATCTTGCAGCTGTGTGAACACCGATTTGGTGTAAATCTACACTTACGAGCGTAAAATAACACCTCCGAAAGTATTTTTACACTGTTTTGGTGTAAATAGCTTGCAGCTGTGTGGACACCGATTTCGTGTAAATCACACTACGAGCGTAAAAGAACACCTCCGAAGATATTTTTACACTGTTTTGGAGTAAATAGCTTGCAGTTGTGTGGACACCGATTTCGTGTAAATCTACACTACGAGCGTAAAATAACATTTCCGAAGATATTTTTACGCTGTTTTGGTGTAAAACACCTTGCAGCTGTGTGGACACCAACTGGTGTTAATCTACACTAAGAGCGTAAAATAACACCTCCAAAGGTCTTTTTACACTGCATTACGTACTTACTGAATAAAGCTACTGTACTGATATGGTTTGTGATGTAAATGTACATCCAATTGATGTCTAAAGTAGCTATATTCAATATAAACTTAATGTAATGTAAAAATACCTTTTTGTATAAATGCTGCTTAAGATTGTATGTTATTAACTCAATTTAACTGAATTACTAAGTTAAAACAATGAAGAGAATAGAAAGTACAAATGCAAATTATATATTTTTAGAGTTTTAAACTATA